TCGCGTCGCTGGAAGCGGCGTGTTCTAATTTGTCTAGCGCGGCTGCGCCTTGTAGCCGGGCCGCTGAAGAAGGAACCCTTCTCGTTCGGGAGGGGACCCGTTTTCTTTACTTGTTGTAACGTTCACTTGGGGTCTTCTGTGGGAATTCGAAGCTTAACTTATGGAGAAGATGGGGCATCGCCCCTTACTTAGGGTTCCTTATGACAGCGTTTCGACTGCACGGAGCCACGCCAAAGGAGAAGGAGGAGCTGGACAAGAAGGCGAAGGAGAGCACGAAGAGCACCCAGGAGTTCCGGTCCAAGACTGATTCTTTTCGGCAGCAGCGCGCAGCCAGGCTCAGCCGCTCGGAGGGCCAGAATCGAACGTGCAAAAGCAGCCAAGCTGCGGTTCCCGCGACGCCCGCCGCGTCTGCTGCCACGCCTGACCAGCCCAAATCAGAGTCAGGCCACCCCTCCACGGTGGAATCGTCGGTGACGGGCAGCGCCTCCTCGTCTGGCAGCTCGTCTGCCGCTGCCGCCACTGCTGGCGGCCGCCCCACCTACGCCGCCCTTCGCCGGCGAGCCCAGCAGCTGCTGGCCGCCAGGGGATCCGGCAAGGGCGGAGACGACCGGCCAGCAGCAGCATAGCCCGCGGACGGGCGGTTCTCTGTTCGACGTTCCTGGCCCCGAGAGGGGTAGCAGTCGACGTGCACATATTCCTCTTCCTATATTTTTACAAGCCCGGGCGGGGGGAAAACCCATCGCCCCCCCCCAAAAAAAAAAACTGGACTCCCGGGACCTGGTGCCATGTGGCCCTCCGGACGGGCCTCGAAGCGGCCACCGGTCCTCGCGGGGCGTTTTGCCAAGCCTTCCCAGCACACTTAGGGCGATCAGGGGGGTCATCGGCGACGTCCCAGAGACCCCCAAGACAGCGCAAGAGCGCTCCAAGAGTGACCGATGTGACCTCAAGATGGCCCTAGAGGCTTCCAGGACGGCCCCAAAGAGGCCTCCAAGAGCACTCCCAAGAAGGCCCCCCGAGGCAAAAATCATTGATTTTCTGTTGGCTTTTGGTGAGTTTTGGGGTTATCGTTTTTTCGGCTTCCCGACGCTCCAAGACGACGGTCTTCTGGGCGTCCGAAGCCGCCTGCGAGGCCCCCAAATCGCCCCACAACCATCCGAAAGGGCTTCCAGGCAGTCCAAGAGAGCCCCAAAACGGCACAACACGGGTCCAAGATGGCCCTCAGAGAGCCTCATGGCGGCCCACGATGGCCCAAAAACACCCTCCGAAGAATTCCAAATCGCGATTCGGTCGTTCAGGGAGACGGCCCTTGGAGGCAGGGTGGCCCGAGGAGGCCCCTGGAGGCCCCCGGGATACGCCCAGGAGGCCTCCAGAAGGCCTTAAGAAAGCCCGAAACAACTTTTGCGAGGCCCCTAGGGGCTCTCCAAGGAGGAACCCCCGCAAAAAAAAACTGAGGAGCACGGGGGGAATGCGCAGGGCATGGCGAAAATAAGGAACAATAAGCATGGAGGAAGGATAACGAATAACATCATTATAGCGACGATGCCAGAAAAGGCAACCAGGAGTTATCGCTAAATTGTCGGCTTGACCTTCCTGCCATTCTGCCTGCGTACCAAGTTTCAAGGACCAAGGTGCATGGCGCGAAGCGCCACTGCA